ACACACACACACAGACACCTACACCTCTCATCAGGGCCTGTTTGACAGCTCCTTCACAATGCACCATGGAGCGGTGTTGGCACGGGCCAGCTTGAGGGATGGGCTGCAGCGAGGTTTATGACTGTGCTGACGTCAATGACATAATTCAAATACTTAACCAGGCAGCACGCTTCCACCCCTCCGGATCCTCTCTTCTGGCTATGAGCCTGGAAAACCTGACATGGATTCCTGTTGTGGAGCCGGGTAACTACTGTAGACAGGAGCGGAGCGGACTACCCAGACTGAAAATGACGGGTAAAATTTGTTCTGGCTGTCAGTTTGTGGTCAGCTGCCTGTCTGTGTGTCCATCCACTCTTCTGTATATTCATTATTGTAACTAGCACACACAAAGAATACCCGCTTTAACAAGAAATAATCCAAACACACTATGATGTTTAATCCCTTTGATTAGACTGATAACATAGCGTCAGATAGCAGATGCTTCTATATTTTATGGTGCAGTTATTATATGCATGCACACACAGACTTGCACTATGCACAAGACTGCAGCACTCCTGCCCTGATTAGAAAGTGATTACTCCTTATTATTTGGCATCAAAGCACAGATTACTGGTGATTAAGACCAGCTATGTTTCTTCTTAAATCTGTCAGAATAACCTGTTTCAGATTAGTCTTTCATTACGTCCCTTTCAGGGCATGTTTACAGAAAGAGACAAAAGATGAATGAGTAATGCTTATTGTGTGGGGCCCCACACCCTGGGCAGTTTACGCACAAAGTCACGTGTTTAGTTTCAAGGCAAATAATGTGTGTGTCAGAATGCAGCGGCCTGCTTTACTGAATTCATTTTGCACAGTTTGCAATAAAGTCTGCATTAAATCCTGACCAGGTTTACTGAGCAGCTGACATTCCATCCAACAAAGAAAGACAAACTGGTAAAACTCATAGCTCAGGTATGATGAATTAACCCCCCAAAAGGGGTCATGGAAAGTCTTCAACAGTGGTGCTCTAACCTATCTTCCTTGGAAGGCCTAAAACAAAACTTGCTGAAAGTGCACTACAGTGGAAGCACATTGCAAAACAATGCCATGATACTGTATTAGGTGGAATACGCCTACCTGCATCTCTAAAGAATCTCGTTTGTTTAATGCGGGCAAAAACCAAAGCGTAAAAACAACAATTTGTGGGGAGTTGTGACTTCCTTTAGCCTGTTCTGGTTACCTCAGTTTGACAACAAGAAATTGTCCTCCCCAAAGAATTCAAACTGCAACTTCTTCTTTTCACACATCAGTTTTTGTATGGATTAAACAAAAAGGATTTAAGGATCAGTATGTGGCATTTAGTAGCATCCAGTGGTGAATTAGCAAACTGCAATCAACTGCATAGCACTCGCCTCACCCTCCCCGTCCAAGTGTAGAAGAAAATATGGTGGCCTTGAGAAAAACTATCTACAGCTAGTGTTTGGTTTGTCCGTTCTGGGCTACTTTAGAAACATGGCAGTTCGACATGGTAGCTGTCACAGAAGGCGACTTGTGGCTAATGAAAACACATCTATACATATTATAGTCCATTACTGCCAATAGATCCTCCTTAAGATTACACACCAGACCTTTAATTAGTGAGCTGTGGACTGCAGTGGTGCTAGTAGCTGTATTTTCTTACCTATGAACAAAGTTGGGCTAGTTGTTTTCCGGGTTTATTCTAAGCTGAGCTATGACAGTGGTATTGATCTTCCTATTTAAGTCTTGAAAAGTAACCAATAAGTGTATTTTCCAAAATGTACTATTTACTATTTCTTTAAAAATAGATATTTATTGTCAGATGTCACAGTAGTCTTTTTACTTCCGAAGCTTTCATGAAAAGCAACGCTACAGCGCATTTCAGGCAAAGGCTGCACCGAAGCAACAAACACTGGAGAGAGAAACTCTCTCAAGACAGCAGCATGGGCTAAAAGATTACAGAGAAGGTTTGTTGTTTTATTTTATACTTATTTTGCAAAAACACCATGGATTGATTTTAGTAACTTTAATGTACACTAAGTGTGCACTGTGCAACTGTATCGACAGATACTCAGTATTATATGACTCCGATCGGTGGCAAAAAAAATAAAAACTTGATCATCCCTACAAAGAAGTCTGCTACCTTTGATTTGATAGAGGGAAATCAATAAAAAAAAAATATGTAGGTCCAAGTGTCAATCAAAAACGCACACAAATCAAGCAGAATTGTGGAATGTCTGGCAAGGCTGGCTGGAAAATTATTTAATCTAAGGTTAACTACGATTTGGCGACCTACTTTGCCAACAGGCCCCATTTTGGGCAGCACTGCTCTAAACATTCATTTCTGAAGGCATTGTGTAAACATTAATTTCTCATAGGGGACACTGACCAAGAAGCCAATGTGAAATCTCATCATGAGTCTAATGACTAACCATGGACCCTGGAGTCCTTACCATCTGTGACGATATTCAGCTACTGATAACTGTTGCAGATTAGTCATTATCACTCCTTGACGTCAAAGACGTCATGATCAAGCATTTTCCTCAAAAGTACTATTTTTCAGGCATAATATAAAGCAAAGCCTATAATCTGAATCAGTCAGGGAAGAGTGAGCCCTTTGTTGGTCGCGGGGCTCATGGGACTGCATGTGATGGAGCCAAGATGGTTTGTGAAGCGTAAACTGCAAACTCACATGAGAAAAACTACAATCCCCTCACGTTACTGGAGTAAGACGGTTAAAAGTGTAAACAGCCTGGAGTGACGCATTTGCAGCTGAGCTGAGTTTAGTATACCCCCCAGTTTTCTGCTTCTTGAGCACTTTCACCCAATGACTGCAGTCACGTTCCTGCTCTTTTTGTTTATTTCATCCGATCTGACCTTTTTTATTCCCATATCGTATCTGATTAAAACGCTCAAAAACTGACGCCTCTCTCTGACCTTTGCTGTGTTTTTGTTCTTTCCTATCTCATTTCATGCAACAAACTGGCAAATCCCTGACTCGTTCTTGAAGCCACTATATCTGTGCCTAACCTCCCCATCTTCCTACAGGAATTCACAATACTCTCTTGAGTTCTTATGTGTTTCACTCATTTCATTGTCAAATCCCTTTACAGGGGTATTCAACATTTCATAGAGCTCCTAATCAGCAATCTACGCTGAGCTCATGCCCAGAAAGACGCAGGTACTGTATCTTTTCCAAAACTGGGGATATTGCCTCACTGAAAAACACAGATGCAAAACAGGAAAAATCTGTTCTCCTTTTCCGGGCAAAGAGTTGACAAAAAACGAGACAGAAAGCAGCACAGGGGAGGATATGAGGGCATCTTTTTTGTGATATTGTTAATTGTTGTAGTCGCCCACTGAACAATTTAAACAATTACTATTATTTAGTGGCAGGTGTACTGTATGTTCTTTGTATGCGCAGGAAAACATGTGATGAGATATTCTATAGTAGGACTAGAATAAGATCCTGTGTCAAACATATGTGTACTGTGTGTCAGAGGTTTCAAACACGTTTGCTTAATCACGTTTGTTTTTCTCATTCTATCTTGATGGAAGCCAATAACGGGATGGTTTCACTCGTCAGAGATTACTTTAAGAAGGTCAAGGTTTGTGAGAAGTGTAGAGGAGGAAGGACAATAAGAGCCTCACTGTTGTCTTGTATTTTTTCCTGCTGCGGGACGCTCCTAGCAGCCCATCTGTGCTGATAGGAAGCGGAGAGCACCCGTGTGCAGGCCCTGCTGACGTCAATTGGGCTTGAAGAACAAGTGCAGCAGGAACTAATATCCCCACCTCCCTCCTGCCCTTCTTTCACTTGTCCTTTCCCTCCTTCACATCTAAACCATGAAATATCTTTCTGTGGTTCTCACCCTCTTTCGTTCCTTCTTTCCGGCCATAACATCAGTGCATGGGAATTTCTGTTATCATCAAGTCAGTTTCCTGCATTAATAACTGAAAAGATTCTACAGGTTCTACTTGCACATGTGAAAAAGCTCAAAGATAACAGTTTGTGCTGGCAGCGTAAACATCTATTACTGTGTTGACGTGGAAATTTTCATAGGGAATTACAGTTCAACCCAAAGCATATCTACACTAATTAAGCATTTGCATGCAGAACACTACATATGAAAGGTTGACTGTGAATGTGTGCTGTGTTTGCAAAGACGCAGTCTATTCACTGCACAGGTATGAGACTGCAGTGACTTGATGTATGCTACTGCCATTCATTGTTTATTAAACTTTCATAAATGTTGTTGACAACTGTGCAGATTCTAGGCACATGCCAATACAATTTTAACCTACGACTTTTATGCATGAAACTGCACGTAGGGATTAACTCAGAACTGGGCGTGTTTATTTTTGGATCTTATCTTTCATTCTTTTGTATCTTTTTAATCTTAAACAGGGCATTGTCCTCCACAAACTGGAAGGCTTCTGGGACTCACCTGATAGACAGACTTTGGTGACAGAAGGCTGACTTGCAGCAGGAGACTTTCTGGAACCAGAGAGAAACAATTTAGAAACTATTAGATCAGTGTGTGTTGCATTATTTTTTCGACAGTGTGATTTGGTTCCTGCAGCAGTCAATGTTGCCATAGCACAAACATAAAACAGGTGCTCCCTCAGTTCATTTTCTACCATGGGACACGGTCACATCTAATTCAGTTTTGGCTCACGGTGACCCCTCTCTCTGAGGTCGTATTGACTCTGCATGCACCTCTTGCAAACCTGATACAACTGCAGCAACTGACCCAGTTCAGTGACCAGAAGGTGCTTTGATGCACTCAAATGAGATGAGGTAACCCACTCTTACACCAATAAAATAAAACAAAATGTCACTGTGTCCAGTTTGAGATTTTAATGCTGCTGCTGCAATCCAGCTTTGCAGCTCTCTGGATGTTTTAATTTATACTTCAATGTGAGTGGTTTGTCACATTAGAAACGTTTTTGGTGCATTGGCGCCCCCAAGTGAGGCATGTTGGCATCTTAAACTGAGACGTCAACAACTGAGCATCTAAACATACAACACACGCAAAAGACAAAAAAGCAGCCAGTATAGAAATCTTCATTGCATATCAGATACTATAATACAATTATGAGATTACTTACTTATAGGATGCACATTGCACATTTGTCAAGGTGGTGAAATTGTTCCTGACAGTCCGAAGGCTTGCCAGAACCTAAAAAACAATAAGAAAAAAGAAACAGTGATATATGAGTGATATTTTAAAAAAGCTATATGGAAATATTTAAAGATTACAATTTGTTACTTGCAGAAGGTTTAAGAGAATATACACAATGTTAATACGACTATTTTGCTTACATAATATTCTTATTATTGTGATAATGTGATGGCTACTCCAAATATACAAAGGTTTTTATGTACTCCTTTTCAAAGTTTGTATGGGAATGCAGCTAATTATGCAGACTGACTGACTAATTGCTGTGTCTGAATCATTTACAATTGTTAATTAGCTGTGAATTCAATGCAGTGTTTGTAGCTGTGTCTCAATTCTGAATGGTGCTCGTTGCTCCCACTCCCACTCAAATCAGCACAAATCATAAATATATTGTAACAAGGTAGCGAACTACATTAACAATACACTAACATTCATTAGGCAACAATTTGAAAGAGTGCACCTGATGAACTGCTCCACAAAGTATTATTCAAGTTTCAAAATGAGACTTCATAATCACATGAGCTACTTGCAACCATTGGAGAGGCGAACTAGACAAGAAAAATTAAACTACAGTTTAAATTGGGGATGGTGAGTCTAAAAAGGACCTTGTCATGCCTACTAAAAGCCACCAGAGGGCAGAAAGGAATTACTGTCCGGATTCATGAGGTGCTTCACATCTAAAAGGCCTTTTGGGAAAATTGTGTTTGTCAAACAATGCTATTTGGCAAAATAACCTTAAGATGTTATTAGGAACTGATTTATTGACTTATCGGCTCTTACCTGGGCAAATGGAGTCACAATCAAGTCCTCTCCATGCCTGAAATTAGATGTGAAAACTATTGAGCAAAGACAGTTACGCAGACAAACACGCAGTTGAACAAAGGAATTTGATACAACAGCAGTCTCTCTCTCTGAGATCATTTCAACTCACAGTTCTCCAACAATGGAAGAGTTTCGAGACAAAGACTTTGGTGACAGGTCGTAGTCGCTGTCAGAGCGGTACAGGAAGGACTCCCGGCGCTGGCCATGGCCCGCCAGGTTGGGATGTAGGACCAGACCTGAACCTGGGGATGCCTGCGGGTCTGAAGGACTGCAGCATAATGATGGGCCATTCTCCACTTCAAAGCTAAAGGAAAGAGAGATAAAGCACAATAATCAGTTAAATAATAAATGTCCTTTTGGTATTTAGAGAGCATGTATATTATCAAATGAAAACAGAGAATGGTTCTCTGTTATTCCTTAATCAACTTCAGGATGTGTACAGATAGATGACTGATCAGACAATCATTTACACTGACTATCAAGTTATCATCATGTAAGTCATTTCAAGAAGCTGCCACTAAAGAAGCTTGCACAACATGTTCACATGTCCCATCCAAGAACGAGATGGTTGCATAAACCCTAAAATGATTACTCACCCATCCATCCATGGCCTAAAAACCAAAATATTGTACTGATGAACTCATTAAATCAGTATGCTTTACTGGTCAGTGAGAGGAGGGGTTGTTTGATTGTAAACTGCTGCTCTGGTCTGTGTCTCACTGCAACACTGTCCAAGACAGCTCCACTCATTCATCCCCACTTAGTAGCAAAGAGACACATTAGCTCCTTATGGTGCGATGCTGGACATATTCTAGTGTTCATTCATTTAGCCTTGTTTATCTCTATAGTGACAGATACACTCATATACAGTGGTCTTTGAAACATACAATAGATCCTGTATAACTGCAGATAGTACACACAGCAGTTAAATCTGGAACAAGCACCTCATCTAATTGCTTGAGATTAATGTTTTTGTACATGGTCCTTGACAAATAAATCCAATGGAATACCATTGAAAACATGAACAGTCTAATGCAACATATAATAAAATAATTTAAAGCCTCAGCTAAGTTTCAATGCTTGTCTCTGGCCTTTTATAGAAAAGAAAATACATATAACAGTCCAATACAGCGATATTATAAAAACAACAGAGTGGAAGAAGTCAGGGAACTGTGCGAAGAATCAAGAAATGATGGGAGTAATAGCTATCCAACAAGTAGCCCATTTGATACAAAGTATGTGTAAACATCATGCAAACAGCCAAAACCAGCCTGTTGGCAGATGCCACAGTGAAAGTTAAAACACCACAGATGCACAGACGGATATAATCTGTTTGTAACTATGGAGTGGGTGAAAGAAGAGAGGACAAGCTATTGTGCAACCAGATGATCAGGTCAGATGGACTGGAGTTTAGAGGTGAAAGGTCAGAAAGTATCAATGCCCAGCAGGAACAACAGATGCCAGAGATCATGAATAACTCTCACTAAATCCTGGATTTATCTTAGATAATATGTACACAGAGTCTGAGTCTGTGTGACTGTCATATAAAACACATAATAATATTTTATTTTATTTTTATTTAACTTATATAATTATTTATTTTACTTGCAGTAATAAAAAAGTGTCCGCAACACATTTTATAGCTTTCACAAACACACTAAAATCTATCTTGTCATGGACTGAGTGCTCCAAAGGCTACTTCACCATTTGCCCCACATTTATCCCCTGCCTCAGTCATTTCTGCAACATGTGGGATTAACTGGGCACACATCCCACTGAGACACTCACAGTCCCACACCTCTGCCAGAGAAGCTCAGATTAATGTGAAAAGTGCAGACTCTGATTACACACATAAACGTCATCTGTGTTCATGTGCGTCACCCAAATCCCAACATCACAACATTAACAGCGTGCTTCACCTACAGCATTCAAATCTCTTAATCTGACACGGGCAGGAAACCACAGTATGTGAACAACATATATTCTGTAGGATGCTGATCTACTGTAACACTGACAGCAACGGTCTGGTACAACAAATCATAATTAAACTTACATTTTTATTTACTTTTTGCAACCAATCATTCTAAAACATCTAGACACATTTAGAGAGAAAAAGAAAGTCAGAGGTTCAAAATACAATATAATATACGTATCTAGATTAACCATTTAGCTAAATAACTTTCAATTAATTAAAATAAATTTAGAGAAATATTTCAAAGACGAGTGAAAGAATCACCTGGGAGCCGAGAGGTGTGCTCTACTGACCACTTCCTCACTGAAGTCAAAGTGCCCAACTCTGCACCTAGGGGACCTCCGTGGCATTCTTCTCTCCCTTCCACCTCCTCCCTCCTCATCAGGCAACAAAAAAGCACTGATACTGTGGCTGCTCACTCATACAGGCGCACACACACACACACACACACACACACTAACAGACCCCCTTTCTGTGCAGTAACAGGCCACGTGCTGAAATAATGTAGGCTTGGCAGAGGCTAACAGGCAGATCTAGGCTGGAGCACTTGCAGTCGCTCTGTTTATCTGACCGCCTGTTCCTTTTCCCTCTATATTAAACCCCTGCAGATTAGTCAGTGCGTTCATCATCCCAACCCCGCCCTTCACTTGACCACCTATGATGTCCTATAAAAAAACATATGCGCTGGATTTTACAGTGAAAAGGGATGTATTAAAGTGAAAAATACAGGTTGTCATTAATTTGCCAACTGTCACTATGTGCATGTGGTGTAATGTAGATACTGTTTAGGTATGAGAGCAGGGGTGAGATGCCCAGAGGAGGGACTGTTAGTAGGGTAAACGTGTGTGGGACAAAGTTCCCAAGATGTTTTACAGTCAAATATGATTGCCAAAAACATGTGAAGAGATGCAATAACCATCATGTTTAAGGGTAGAAAAGCTTGGCTGTCAGCATTGTGATAAATGTCTTAATTTAGGACGGACAGAACTTGTTCGTCGGAATATTATCTTTACAGAATTATGTAAAATAACCTAAAATGGCAATCGTGTTCTGGTTCTGGCAGAAGACACTGTATTATTAGTAAAACTCAGTGTGTTAATGTTAGTCTATATCAGTATTTAAAAATTGGATCACCGTATCAGTAGAGTTAATTTATCATTAGAGTTATCTGAATAGGCTGAAAGCAAACCTGACAGTGTGACTGGGAGATATTTGGGAAGAGCAGAACCAGAGCCTCCCATTATCATTTGAGTGGAAACAGAGGGAAAAAAGAGACAGGCTGTCTTCCTTAACCAAAACCATTGCTGTATAAATACATATTTTCAAAAACATCTTTGCTCACTGGATCCAGAAAATAAAGTAAGGACTGTTACTCAAACAAATAATCATAAGCATGTATTCATGCAAGGGTCAAGGAGGACATTTCTCTTAAGCACAGCACATCCCAGAGGAAAAACACTGAGCACTCTGCTCTGCTTGTACTTTTCAATGTTTCAACAATACAAACATTTTATGATGAAATAATGTCTTCATCTGTTGCACATTTCAACACATAAATAAAAGTAGAGCTGTAACGGCATGTGCCTGGACAGCAACACAGGATGTGAATAATATTAATTCTATAATAAACTTGTCTTTATTAGTCAAAGCAGTTCCAAACTATTGTAATTCTGTTGCACTCTGTAGCTATGGCATCTATTGAATATCTGTTCATATATATGTTACATCTTTTCATCTTCAAACGTTTTCCTCCTCTGTTGCTTTTTCTGTGGTTTGCTTTCCTTCTCTTTCGTTTTTGAGTTCACTGTCTGAATCATGGGTCAACAGATACAGCAAGTAGTTTATTGTACAGATTTGCCCTCTGACAAATGTCATTTTTGGCTCTATAAATAGACTTGACTGAAAAGACTTAAGACATGCGGGAAACTGCGGTCAATTACCCTCACCAGACTCTTCATATGTCATTGGCAGCGTCTGTTTCCAGTGTTTTTACATACCAGTGAATCTCTTTGATAAATCACTCTCCTGGACCAACTCACCCAGGAGCAGGGACATTTTTGGCAACTTGAAATAAACTACCGCTAAGAGGTCCATGTGAGTTAATAAATACATCTTTAATATAGCTCTAAAACACAATAAATAAAAAAATAAAAAAATAAAAAAATATAGTAAATAGCAAATAAAGACAAACTGACTTAAACAACAGGTCTCTCCACCACATCCTCTCACACAAACCACCACCAAAATTCTTACCAGGTATTCGCTACAGTGAAGCGCCTGTATCGTCGGAGATGCTTGTTTACCACCTGCTTGCGAAAGCATCTCGGTGAGCTGTTTGGTGAGGTGTGGTTCTGGCCAGTATTAACAGCAACAGCACTGCATGAGTCTGCCTGGTCCGACCTGAGCTCCCTGTTCTCTCCACTGGCTTCCATTAGTGCTTTACAACTAAGTCCGATGTAAGAAGAGTGAGTGACGGCACTTTTCTGGCCTTAAAAAGCTAGAGCCTTTCCAAGAAAAGTGATGAAATCACTGTTTGGAAAACTATCAGACCCTTTTTTTTTTTTTTTTTACGAGTTTTATATTAATAAAGAACAAAGAGTTATTGTATTGTACTCTGATCTGGAGATTAAGTCAACTGGTAGATATCTTTTCACACACTCCAGCAATATTTATGATGCAAATCAAAATCAAAAAACAACATAATCTACAAGCTGATTGGCTACTCAATAACAGCTAGATACCACCACCAAAAGTTATGGTGCGTCCACAGCGACATGCAATACACAGAGAAAAAGTTTTCCAGCTCTTGACCTTTAATCCAGATAAATGCAACCCATTCTTTTAAAAAACAGCAGAGCAGAGTAGGAGTGTTATAGAGATGAAAGCAACTGATGAAAGAGTCAATAATCATCTGTAGTGAGTCAGTGGTTCAAAGAAAAAATGATGTATGTGGCAAATTGCCATTCATTAATGTAAAGTGGTAGCCATCATAAAAATTCCCTTTTGTTCATATTATCTGCATGAATGCAACCGGGGAACAGCAATAACAGTGTATGATGAAACTAAATGACTGCCAGATTATTTTGTACCATCTGATGCTGTAGAAAATGTGTGTTCTTCTCTAGTACATAGGGCTACAGTTATTACTGTAAGACACAACTAAAACCAAGAAGAAAACAAGGTCTTGAAAACACACACACCAAAATAAAAATATAAAAATTCACTGCCAACTACGCTTCTTAGCTAATTTGCAAATCTAATGTCAAAAGTAGAAAGAAAGAAAACACCAGCCTCCCACTGTTCCCGACACACAACGTGTTCTAGAGTTGTGCTCCGACAAAAATACAAAAACTTTCAGCTAAAACTTAAAAAACAAATTACCCTGAAGTATTATAGTCCACCTCAGACAGCAAACATGCACAACAACCACAGCAGTAGTCCTTTGTGAGTCTCACCTGTCAGGGTCAGCCTGTGTGATGTCGATGCGGGGCAGAGAGACGATGGGCAGACTTGTCGGCCTGGTCCGGGTCACTGGATCTTCGTCAGGTGTTAGCGGCCTGCCCCTGTCCCTCTCCTTTTCTGCTTGTCGCCATGACAACGGAGGCAGCTGCAGGTTTCCAGAAAACCGCCTGTGGACTTTGCACAACTCCACCCCGAGGGTACTGCCTGCTGAAAATTGCCCCACAGGAGGCTCCTTATTCTCCTGAAGGTAGAACAAAAGGACAATGAATCACTGGGTTACATTTTTATGAAACTGGCTCATAATCTTCTGTACGGGTAGTCCTGGTGGTGAATGAACATGAAGAAAATGTGGATGAAATGTTAATATCAGGTCAGTGCCTCCTTAAATATAAAAGTTGAACTAAATGCCAAAAGTTAAAACAATGAAAAAGAATGAAAAGAATTTGAGTAATGCATAATAGAAAGGCTTTTGGTAAAACAAATAAAAAAAAATAAGATTTAAGAGACCGATTGAGCACACATCAACATGACTGTTCTACAGCGACTCAAAGAAGTCCAAATGTTTAAACACTAACTAAACAACCTGCCTGCTCTGCACAGATACCTGCTTTAACAAAGTGATGTACAGTGTACATCAACTACATTTATGTTTTTATACTCTTCACTACACAGAGAAAGATTAAGCATCTGATCAAGGCCCACGACACCTGAGCTGCCAATTGGCATTTTTATCAATCTGTGCAGAATATAAATTGTTTGTTTAATGTGTCTGGTTGAGTGCGAACGTTCCTGTAAGGAGTCCTGGGTGCTTCACTGTAATGACCGGTTGTAAACAAGTCAGGGCACTGAGGAAACCGAGGCGGGCTGCCAGAGCTCATTTTGCATACATCACCCTCTACTTTATGTTCACCACATCCAAGTGTAAATGAAACACAGACAAGCTTCAAATGAACAGGGGAGATAGGGAAGCACGATGTTGCCATGGGGGAAATGCAAGATCGAGGAATTCCTAGAACATGGCTTTGATCAAACACATAAATATTTGTCTGTTTTATGTGACACTGAGTGAGAGAAGGAGACAGAGTGAAGCCACACTCTGACCTCACTGTCATCAGGGCTGACAGCTCAATACAGTTTGACAAGACCGAGCCTACACACCATCAACTACTAATACTCTCCCTACTAACAGTATTTACTTAGATGCAGTTACTTGTTGCTAGAAAATAGTGATATTTGGGAGTTTAAAACAAATCTGACGTACATGAACAACAATCTTAATACAGGGTTGTTTTGAAAGAAAAGTGACCAAGTAGGACATTTCACAGTTGAAAAGTCAACGCTCTCTAGTGGACAAACTTTGTAATAATGACAATGTTTCTAAATGGTCAAACCTAGTTTGGCATTTCTGCAATTTCTTGTTACTTACTGAGAGACATATACACCAATAGTGACATATCTGCAATACGCCCTCTGACAATATACTGGCCCATTTAATGAGCTAGCGTTAGCATTGTAGCTACTAAGGCTAATGATTATTTTTACAACGGATTTATTTATGCATTAAGTATTAATTAATTGGAAAAATCTGTCTGGAAAATTTGTATGTATTTCCTACAGGCCATGGTGATGTCTTCATGTCTTGTTTTGTCAGACCAACCGTCTAAAAGCCAGAAGCATTCAATTAGTAACATTAAAGACTTGAAAAACAGCAAATCCTTACATTTGCGAAGCTGAACCTGGGAATTATCTGTCCCTATCAAATAACCATAAATTAAAATGGTTTCAGATTGATAAAATGACTAATCATTTCAGCTCAAGTAAAAATACTATTCAAACATTTGACATCTACAGTAAAATGTTTTAATTTTTACATCTAAAAAAGAAAGCAGCTGCTAAAAATAAAAAAACATAACTAGTAGCATTAACCTAAGCTTGGTAATAAGGCAAAAAGACAACTGTGAGAACACATGCACATCTGTCTTGTTGAGGTGATGGGTCTTAAAACTGTAACTGTTACATCTCCCATCTGCTCCCATTTAAATGCCCTTTTTTTAAGGAAGTCAAGAAAAGTACAGCGTTTCAAGTCCAAATTGGCTCTACCTCATGGACAGAGAGATCCTCTCTGAAAATTTAAAATGACAGTGGTGCGAGTATTGTGAGAGAGATGAAAGGTCAAGAGGAAGAAATTCAAATTAATGAGTGAGTATAGCGAAATAGAGTGGTGTCACATAACGAGGTAGAGAGCAAACAGTAATTAAGTAATAAAGGAGAGAAAATAACAAGCAGAAAGAGGAAGTCATCCCACCTCCTCTTCCCAGTAAAAGTGACAAACTATAAATGGCAGGGACACGCCAGCTGGGAAGCAAAGAAGAAACATGAATGAAAGAGTAAACTGCAAAATAGAGGGATGGGACCAGGGAAGGAAAAGTTTGTGAATAAGAGAGGGCAAGAGAAAGTGAACCAAGGAGACAGTTAGAAACCACAGACAGAGACTCGAGTCTGATTTCCTTTCTGATCGTCAGTAAACACAGCTCTGCTGACTCCTCTGCTCCTTCTACGAAATGCAATTTGTCTGATTTATTGTGTCAGTCTCTTTAAGGCACAATCTTCCTGTCCCAGTGGAAATGGGTGAAAATTACATCTGGCAAAACATAATTCTGTCAAAATATAATTCTGTTGCGACAACTCTGCTTGACAAGAGTGATTGTAAGTGGAAACAGTCCCAGATCAAACGTTATAAGCAGAGATCTAAATTTCTTCCCTTGTCAATATGTCACAGTGCCATTGCTGTTTCACTGCCAAATTATTCATCAATTGTCTATTGATTGCATCTCTGACATCTGAACATGTAATTCTTGTTCTTCATTGATCCCACGTCTGTGGTCCAAATGGCATTTGGAAGAGGAAATACTGCTCATTTACTTTGAGTGTACGCCTGTATAAAAGCCAGGAGTAGGACAAGGATGTTGATCATGTTAGAATTCAAAACCACAGCAAATTTTAAAAGCTGGATTTATCATATGTGCCGGAACATGGTCATAAAAGGACAGGAACTGAGATGAAAGGTAAAACAATGAGTCTGAAACGGAGGTTGTGTAGCTCCAGTGTCAAACAGAGGTGGAGTGGGTGTTGAAGATGAAAGCACTTTCTTGGCCGCAGAGCCTAAACAACGCCAGTGTTCTCTGGGTTACATCCAAAAAGCATTTTTGAAGAAGGTGATATAAATGAGACAGCTTTAGGAGTAAAGCTCTAACTACATGGCTTGATGTAGTGCCTGAATTATTGAATCTAGAAAAGAAAAAAAAATCTGAGACTGCTGACTTTAATTATTAAGAGCGATAGAATCTGACGCTCAAGGGTATAGAGTGGTAGAATAGCACATCTTTACAGAAGAAACAAAAGAAAAAAGGGCTTTCAGCTTTAAAATGAGCTTCTATAACGATGATAAAATACAGAAAAAAATAACATACATATAAATTTAAATATATTATATTTAATTTTTTAAATTTTAAATTATATTTAATTAAATATATTAAATATAAACTTCATTAGTATTTGTTTCTTAAACTATGTCACACAACCACTGTATATCTTTTACTGAAGTAAAAGTAGCAACACCACAGTGTAAAAATACTTAATTACAAGAATCTTGTATTCAAAATCTTATTTAAAGTAAAGTTTAAAAAAGTACTCATTGTGCAGAATGGCCCAATTCAGAATAATATTTACAATATTACTCATGATGCAGCTGGTAAAGGTGGAGCTAATTACTTCATATACGGCTGGGTAGTGAAATCAATAATCAGTACTTAAGTATCTTAATTTAAATTTTGTATTAGTATTAGTAATCAGTTAATCAAGTAACTGATGTTGTCAAATAAATGTAATGGAATAAAAAGAACAATATTGGCTATCAAAATGTAGTGAAGTTAAAGTACTTAACTGAGTGTTTTTATTTTTTGCTATTTTATACATGTCCCTAAAATTTTACAAAAGTACTGTACCTATATATATATATATATATATATACATATATATATATATATATAGGTTATATTTTGA